ACCATGTTGTCTTATCCCCATCCTGGGCCTCCATTTCTCAGAGTACTTCGTTTCCTTTCTCTCCCACACTGCAACTGCTGACCTCCTCCCCCTCAAGCCTCCTTTGTGGCTTGTCTCTCTAGCTGTCCCTGGAAACGGACTAACTCTCATCCACTCTTGCTCCTGGGAGGCACATGCACAACATGGAACTTAAACCTGTTGTTTCCATTCAACCCTACTCTTAGAGTTCTCATGAAGAATGAGAACTAGAAAGGTACAGGAGTTCTGCTTGAGAGAGACACTCATTTAGCAAAAAGAGTGATAAAAGAAGTAGCAAGCCACTGGTCAGAACATCTTCATCAATAATGACTAATATCAAATGATGTTACATAATGCCAGGCACTGGTCTAACAGCTTTACCTGGATCAACTCATCTAACTCTCAACCTTCTCATGACATAGATGAGTCCAGAATCCCCATTTACAGAGTAGGCAAGAAGTACAGAGAAATAAAGTCAACCATTCAAGATTAAAATGCTGGAGCCAAACAGTCCTGTTTGATAATCATATTAAAATTAATTGAACATTCACTTGGTTCCATGAGTGTTAGATACATGCCAGTCATTGTCTATGTGAGCTATGGGTATTATCTTATTAAATCCCTACAACAGCCCCTTGAAGAAGGTACCATCATGATATCCATTTATACATGGTCCTATTTTCCATCCAAAGGTCAGAAATGTTAAGCAATGGAGCTGGGATCTAAGCCACAGTTAGAATAAAGAAGAATTTGTGTTTCCTCCTCACTATTGCTTCTACAGAGTTGTCTATAGTTTGTCCCTACAAGTAGTGGGTGGGACACTTAAGAAAACACAAAGTGCCCCATCTTTGGAGGTATTCAATGAGCTGCCAGACATTTACTCGAAAGGGACAGCCTATTAAATTCATTTCTCTATTTCCATATACCTAGGGATATATGTCTATCTTCATTCACACTTTTTTATGTCACTCTCTTCTTTTTCTACCAGATTTCTACTGTAAAACCTTGAGTTTACAAACTATACTTTTACATTTTTATTTTCTCACAATATCTGGGCATCGTATTCAATAGTTCTTATTACTGTTGCAGCTGCTTTAGCTGAGAAGTTTGGGATTATAAAAGGCCCTGAAAAACAAGTCGTCATTGTCTTCTTACAAAACAGACATTTCTTTACCCAGGGATTTCTGCCCAGAGTGAGGATCACATTGTTCAGACTTGTAATGGCCTGGGTACTCCTAAAAGAGCATCATCACCACGCCCATGAATTACCTCAGGGATGTTTTCTTTCTCTTCAGATCTAGATCTTTAGGGTGATGGTAGGTTCTGGTATGCTTGGAACTTCGTGATCAGTCACAGATTAAAAGAAGTGTTCTATATTGATGGAAAGTCGTTAGGTTCTGAATCCATTATTGTAATGGATTCTCCAAAAGAGAGCACATCATTTAAAAAATGTAATAATAATTACCTATTATCTATTAAGCATTTACTATGTGCCACTTTGCTGAGCACTTCACATTTATTATTTTGTTTAATCCTCACGTGCAAAAGAAAATTGAAATATGACATCCCTCACCAGGTTACAGACAAGAAACTGAGACTTTGGGGTCACACAGTTGTGAGAACTGAAAATAGTCTTTTTAAACAACCCCTACACTCCTGAAAGCCGGCCCTCTTAGCCACTCTCCAACATGGCCTCCCGCCATCTGACATGATCCATGAACACAGCATCACAATGTGCCAACACAAGAGCATTTAAGGATGCTGCTTATTAGAGCTTTTATGAGGGCCTTGTGTGAAGATAAGTTCTTGCCTGAGCTAAACTCTTGCCATACTGATTGCTTCTTCAAAATGGAATTGACTCCACTAGACATTGACTGGGTAGACGCTCACTGTTCTTGCAAATACCATCAAATGCATACACTATGGATTTAAATGCAAAGTATATGTCTTGAAGCCCTTCTCCCATAAGGACTTTCTTTCCTTATATGCTTAGTTATTTATGTCTAGTGATCCTTGGAATTGTAGTTTAAAGAACTGGAGGCAGGATCATATATATAACAAGAGCCTTGCTTTCGAACACAATGATTTTTTGCTTTTGCAGTTACTATGTGGGGCAAGGAAGCTCAACTGGGATTTGTGCCATCAAGGCTTATCTTTCTACGGTATTTAGCTTCCAAAGCATAACAAAAAAACAGTTTTAAAAAATTTTTTGACCATTTGCTTTTTATAAAATAACTTCAGGGTATATTTTGTGGCACTGACACCCTAAAACCATGGAAGTAAGGAAAATTTTTAAACTACAGGTAAAAGCACAAGAGCCAATTACATAGATGTTTAAACATATAAAACGTTAAGGCTACTGAGGAAGATGTGGACAACTAAATACATAGGGAATTAAGAGTCTCCATAGGCTTGAAATGACAATATTATGGAAGTCTTATCCTTAAACTTCCCTAGATATGAGTTATTCCATTACCCTCACCTCCAGGCAAGAAAACGTGAGGCCCACTGTGTGGGGTAACTTGACTGGGATCACATGGGTAGTCAGGACCAGAGCAAGGCCACATTCTGCAACCCTTTCTCAGGCTTGTCTCTTATTCTCACCACTTGGATTTTTTGGCGGTTTCCTTTTTAGTTTTACCCCTGATCTTTCTTCACTGGTTTACCAAATGATATTTTTCATTAAAGTGCATTCTGGCCCATTCAGCAAGAGATCCACATTCAAGTTGCATTCCAGCTGCTAAATGGCTCCTAGGAATAAACCATTTACCGTGTGGAGGGCTCCTTACTGTAACTCGCTCACCTGCATCTCTCTCTCTCTCTCTCTCTCTCTCTCTCTCTCTCTCTGAACCCAAAATAACAGCAATGACTGCACCCCTGATGGATGTACCCTAGACCACTGGCTGCATTGACAGAGACAGCTGACTTGCTTTGAATTTTACAATTTGGGAAGCCCTTGCATCTCAGCCAGTTACTTTTTTAAGCACCTGGAAGCTACAGGCAAGTGAGTAACATGTTCAGTTGATAACATGCCAGAGACAAGATTAAATATTGGTCTTTCTCATGGACATTCAGGCAGTAGTCAAACATTACCTTCCTCCTTTACTATGGTGAAGTAAAATATTTGTGTCAGATGGTTCCAGTGTATTTCATCACCTTGTTTTTTTTCCCCCCATAGGAACTCTTCTGTCAGAACAGATCAATGGTGCTCATCAACTGATGTCAGGGTTCGAAGTAGCCAATACTAGATACCGCCCTAAACCCTTCTCTTGCCTTCTTCACACACGGGGGGAGGAGAGGGGACTGCTTTGTAAGTGCCAGGGAGGAGGAGAGTTTTTGCACCCTCTGCAGACATTAGAAGTCTTCTCATACTGTCTCACACAGTGTCCCTAACAGCCACTAGAGATGGCACAGAGAGGGTGCCAGCTGGCAAACCTACTTGCTGGCTGGCTCTCTGAAACAGGTTCAACTAGTTAAATCAAAATTAATTGCCAAGCCAAGATCATCCTCACCCCACACCAGAAAAAAGATTGAAACCCTGCCACTGAAAAGAGTTGCCAGGGAACATGAGGAAGTGCTGCCGGGCACAGAGATTCCGGGTGAGCTGATGCATCTTTTGTTCAATAGCTGCGCCCGTTCAAAATTCCTATGTCGAAGTCCTCACCCCCAGTACCTCAAAAAGTGACCTTATTTGGAAATAGGGTTGTTGTGGATGTAATTAGTTCTGATGAGGTCATGCTAGGGTAGAGTGGGCCCCCATCCAATATCACTGGTATCCTGCAAGTGATGCAGATACACAGGGAAACACCATGTGGACCTGAAGGCAGGGAGCTGGGTGATGTTTCTACAGGCAAGGGATGTCGAAGGTTGCCAGGAAGCACCAGAGGGGAGAGGCACGGAAGAGCTTTCTCCTGCATCACCCTCTGAAGGAACCAACCCTGTGGCCACCTTGATCTTGTACTTCTAGGCTCCAGAACTGAGAGATAAATTTCTGTTGTTGAAGTCACCCAGTTTGTGGTGCTTTGTTATGGCAACTCTAGCAACACTTGTGCAGGCCGTATTTCCGAAGTTTTGGAAAACATAATATAAAACTCTAGCAATCTGTATATTGCAGTAACAAGTTGCTAGAATAGAAGGCTTCTATAATTCATCATATTTAATATTTCTCCTTATTGGGTGATAGATTATTTGTCTATTGCTACCCAACAAATACCACCACTTGAATGTCTCAAAATAAGGTAGAACAATGAACAAAAATAAATAAATAAACTCATTAATAAAACTTGGGTTCTTTCTGTACAATCCTTTCCAATGTGCAGTTAAGCCCAGCTAAGGGTTTTCCCATGACTCAACTGGTGCACTTGAGATGTGTATTTTTTTCCTTCCACACAAGAAATGTTATTTGTGTAGCTGTTGTGTCCCAGACACTCCGACAGGCATTAGAGACCCAACAGTGAGCCGAAGAAGTAGCCGTTACCTTCATAGTGGCCCATGTTCAGTGAAGAAGACATATTGTCTGAACAGTTACTCAAATGTATACAACTCTTAACTGTGACAAGTGCAATGAAGAGGCGTCACCATGCTTTGTAGGCACCTAGTTGGGCATATTCTGTGTTTTAGGAAAAGGCTGCAATACTGTGAGTTTTCTGCCATCAAAAGAAAACACCAAATATTACATTCAGGGAACCAAACCACTATCAAAACAAATCATCGTCATACAACACAGGCTCCCAAAGAATGAAGGGACTGGAGCTGAAAGTGGTAAAGAAGAGAAGAAAAGAGACAAATGGGACTGGAAAGACCTAAAGAAACAGGAAACTCAGGACGAGATGCTGACATCAAGTTTCCGTTGCCCCTTTTGGGATTCAAGAACAGGGTGAAGACATGTGTCTAGTGCTGTGAGTGTGGCCGTGGTGAATGGCATGTAGTCAGGCATGAGATTTTGCACAGTTGAAAGGATCTTACCCAAAATAAAAGCCTACCTTTGTTTGCAGCTCTGTCCTTTTAAACTGGAACATCACCGTTTTGAATGCTCCTTGCTCTGTGCAGTTGTGGGCACTCGCGCCTGCTGCCAAACGTAGCTGGTCACCACAGAAGCCGCTGAATGCTGCAGAAGATGGGAAGAAAATCCATTGAATTAATCCTGAGCATTGCAAATACAGCTGCATCTCTCAATTACTTTCTCAAGTCCATTATAATTGTAGCTCTGATTACATGCAAAGATTTCTCACCTGCAGGGACAGAGACAAGGTCATCAAAGTGCTGGCATGTATCCCCCAAGGCCACTATGGACAGATCTGCAGCTGCTGTGTCACTTGCCCTTGGTGGAATTTAACAAGATAAACTGCTTCCTTGGCATTTATACTACATTTAGCATGGGTTATATTTACACCTCTTGCCTGATGGCGATGACCAACTTGGTGATCTACTTTGAGATCTCCCAAACAACCAAGGCATACATAACAGATTTGAAAATACTTCAGAGACATTAAATAAATATATGAACCCTACTGTTTTTCCAAAACAAATATTCAGGGAACACCTCTACTGATGGCTGGAGACCAAGCTGATGAGCAAAGGACACCACTGGGGTGAAGCGCTCCCTAGTGGAACGAAAATAAGCTTACATCCATCCCATCACAGAATGCTACTATAACCCTTTATTTGTCCGTATCTGTTTGAGCTCACATAACTTACATGACTGTGATAGCTGGAGATCTCAAACCATCCTGAGGAAGCTAGTTGCATCATGCAATGCCCAGGTAAATAGTATGAGAGGAAAGGTATCTATTCTGAAAGTTAACTTACATGGTAGGCTTACACATGTTTGGTACATTTAGCATCCTATTTAAAAAAGAATGGGGAACAATGACCTCGAAAGAGGAAAAGAGATTATAAATATATTATCTGCAAACAAAAGAAAAGTGGAATGTTCTGGAATGGTTGAGCGTGGGTGGCTGTTTAGAGCAATGTTTCTTAAAGGGTGGTCCTGAGACCCAGCCACACCTGGGAACTATTTAGTAACACAAACCTCAGGCCCTACCCCAGACCTACGGGATCAGAAACTCTGTTGGAGGGGCAGAGAGCTGAGCAAGCCGTAGCTGAACCAGCATTTCAGTGCTTCTGAGTCACTGAGTCAGGGCATGAAGACTAAAGCACAAGCCAAGCAAAATGTCAATGTCTCCAGGAAAAGAAACTCTAACACCGAGTCTGCAAATTATTAGAGGGTCTAACAATGTAACTGATGATGATAAAGAGATTAAAAAAATTTCATTAACACAGTCTAATTGTGAAATGGTTCTTTTTTTTTTAAGAAGTACATTTTTTGTTTATTTATTTTTTTCAAATACATTTGTCTCTGCCTTCCCCACAGCAGTGAAATGGTTCTTCAACTGAATAAGTGACAAACAACGGTCCCTGTTGTGATGTTTGCAGAATTTCCACAAGTTCACTACAAACAGTGTTTTCAGCCCCAAATGTAAGCAACTGAAATGAGCCTCAAAAGCCCAGGCAGCTGCAGGTTTCGTGGTCTGGCAGGTATTTGCTCTGACTCCCTTCACCTGCAGCTGAGCGTTTTCCTTCTGAACCATTCACTGAGTGAGAAGAATTTCAAAAGTAATGAATAAAACGCGTTCTTTGAGTCTGGAAAATTACAGTCTCTCATGATCATAGAATGGCTAGGCCAGCACGAGCCAATGATATACAGATAAGAGATACAGAATGCTTTTACACTGTGTAGTCTTTTAAATTACTATATGTATGTAGGGAAATTCTTAGCAAGGTCACTGGTCAAAGGAAATGTTAAAAGAGTTGAAAGTCCAGCGAAGGAAAAATGCACTATAATAAAAGTATAGAGTTAGTGTGGTTTGTCCAAGCTATAGCTAAATGCCAGATATATTTCTCCACCCTCCTCACCTCCTCAATATTACAAGCAGCACTTAACTCTGGGATATTAACAAAAAAGAGCTTTATGTGAAAGGAAGGTGTTTTTTTTCTTTTAAACTCTTTCATTTAGCATCCACCAAAAAGACACGTGTGTGCTTATTTTTAAAGTGACATCCATTTGCTAGTTCAGTTCCTCCAGGCTAAGAAAGTAAATGGATGTTTTGGCAAAGAGTCCTAACCGGCACTCAAGCTGGGTATACCAGTCATGCCTAGGAAACATTTTATTTATTCAGTGTTCTCCCATAATGAAAAATCGTGCAGGATTAATTTTGAAAAGACTAGGCATATTCTAATGAAATTCCTCTTTTGATATGCCTAATATTTTTCAAATAGTCTTGCGAACTTCATGTCTCTACCACAAATAGACATTTCAAAAGATCTTTTTAGAAAGATACTCAACGGTGTTAGCCTCAGTGCCATCAAATCAATTTAATTCCAACATATAGAAATTATTTCACTGAAAAACTAACTTTGCTCTCCCAGTCCTGATTCTGTAAGTCCAGAACTCGAATTCAATTTTTTTCCTTTAAACTCTCTCTCTCTCTCTCTCTTTTTCTCTGCAGGCAAGGGTGACAGCTTCTATTCATATCTCTGCCAAAACTTTTGAGGGCATTAGAAAGAAAAATTCAAAAATAGTAATTTCATCTTTTCTACCTGTAGCTATAACTCTCCTTTTAGGACTCATTCCTCATCGGTCGCATGCTGGCAAGACTCATGATGCTTTTGATGGGCCTGAGTTTTGGAACTTCCTCAATCTTCCTTTGCTTACCACCAAGAATACCTTAAAACATGCATCTCTTGTTTTAAGACAGTGCAATTTTAGTCTGGGATGTCATAGCAATCCTACAGCTCATCCACCCAAGCTCAAGTCTAGCTCATCCCTCAATGGTTTCCGAAGCAAAGCTGTAAAGGAAACTAGTTTGGTTGCTCCAAATCTCATGATTGCTACTCATGGGAAGACCCCCTCTGAGCACCATCCCCTAGAATGTTCAAAGGAATTCAAAAGTTTGGCTGAGGCTAAATTTCCTTGGGAATCAAGAAGCTGACCAGTTATTTGAGCTGATACAGCAAGTTTTACTGCGATCTCTTTCTTAGACTCACTATGCAAGTAGCTTTGCATGGGGAAGAGAAGCCAAACACCTCAAGCAAAGAAAGACTCAGGTATCCAGTGAATCAAGGCTATGCACACACCTGCACACGCACACAAGAGTCTAAGAACCCAAATTCCTATGGTGGGGTGTTTCACAAATGCAAAGGCACAGTGCTCTTCTTTCTTTCTTTCTTTCTTTCTTTCTTTTTTTTTTGGTATCCCTTCCTTTCCATGATCAACTAAATGGGGTTTGACAGTAATTGGAATCATGTAGGTTTTGTCAACTTCTAAAACTTACTTTCCATTCTCTACCTCCCTCTAAATTTGGACTTACACTATGTATGAGAGAGATGTCAAACCTCATTACAATAGAAACCATTGAAAGACAGACACTTCCAAAGCTCTTAACCATGATTATGTCTTTTTTTCCCCTCAGAGAGTACACAATGCAATTAGTTTTTCTTATAACAAAATTATCTGGGCAGTCTTTGGGAGTTAGTCTGAATGGAATCAATAACTATAAAGAAACAAATAATTTGAGAAAAACCAAGTCTTACCATTGCACTCATTTTCTTAATTTCATTCCATAAATTCTGATTATTATTTACTGATTTACCTGGAGATACAATATGCAGGAATGTTTTTATGGACACTTCATTTTGCCCTCCATACAATCACCTGATTCCACCCTAGTTTATGTAAGTTATTCCATATGTCTTATGCAAAATGAGGTGGATGCCCTACTAAGTCAATTTCAAAACCCTAACAGTCTCTGCTTCTCCTCTAAGAAGCACAAAGATTCATATTCTTCAGGATATTTCATGGACTTTCCCTACCAAGCCCAAATTATTCTACTTAATTTGATTTAAGTCAATTCATTCATTTAATCATTAACAAATATATATTGAACATCTACTATGTTCCAGGTAGTCTGCATCTAGACACTGCCCTTAAGAAGCTCATAGTCTAAAATTTTATATATTTCATATCTGATACATATGTATTTTAAAGAAGGCTACATATATTCTTATATAGCACATAATCCATTCTTTTCATGTGTGTCATGTAGATATGCCCAACTTGGTCTAGCACTCTTGAAACTATAGACATCTTCAAGTTTGGGAAAATATTTTATCAATTTTGGCCCTATTGAACAAAAAGGTTAAGAGATAATCTATATAACTAGTGTAAAACAAAACAATAACAGATAGTTCATTTGAACAAATTAAGGGAACACTATAGATACTGTTCTTAAAATGTCCAGATAAAGTAGAATTCAATCATTCAAATCCCTGATTGTGAAAACAACTAGAAGGAGATTCAAGTGAAACTTGAGAAATATTTTTACCAGCAAGCTATTTCTCACTAATCTTTAACCATTACCAATTACTACTTAAATCTGTGTGTAAATCTTGTGTAAGTTTAGATAAATTAAGCAAATAAATTTAGATTTCATTCTGATAACATTTTTATTAAATTCTAGTAGGCCTCAAGGTGCATTACTTAGGTTTAAAATTCTGTTTCAGTGCTATAAAGCATCATGAAGTGAGCCCTAGCTAACTTCTCAGTACTCCTAAGTATGCCAGAAATTCACCTTCTCATTGTTCTCTACCCTTCATCTTAGGAAACAGAGATGTTCTCAGGTATAGAAGTTGTAACTACACCGGATTTAGGAAACACTGGACAAATGACCATGCCTTGGAATGTCTTCCCAGCTGACATAAAATTGTCTGAATTTCTCCTTTAAAAGTGTCTTCCTTTGGGTTTGGATTCTGCACCATCAAGAGTGACCTGATTACAATAACAATTCCCTTTCATTGAGTCCCTAGCTTGTTCTAGACACCGTAATAAGTGCTTTACATATTTATTCCCCAAACATCCCTGTAAAATAAGAATTATCTTTTTTTCCCCCAAGTGAAGGAAGTGAAATTGGGCTGGTCACAAAGCTAGTAGATAGTAGAGCAGCATTTAGTCCCTATGCCCTTGCACTCTGTCACCTTGGGGCACGTCATTAAACCATATCATTTTGGGTGGCCCATCACAAAAAATTTATTTTATATTAGAATTCTCCC